AGTTGTCATCATTTAAAAAATTAATGTTAAGTATAATATATTGAGTTAGTGTGTAAAACCATTTTTGCATATCGAATTCAGAAATTTCAGAATGACGAGACTTCATAAAAGAGATGCTTAAAAAACAATAAATTTATTAAATGTAAGCATTAATTTGTTCAAGTATCTTACTCGACAAATATATGTATCTCCCTATAGCTTAAACTACTAATCCTGATATGCAATGAATGAAATTGCCCACATAGTAAGCATTTTGGTATTTTATTTAAAAGCAACATGTATACATACAAAAACTAAACCCCACTTTCTTATATACTTATATAAGCTGCAGAAATGTTTGCAGAGCAACTTTTTGCTACCAAAAATTATGTTTTTCTTGAATATATATGATGGTAGAAAACTCAACATAACGTCCAAAAAAAAAAAGAAAGAACATCTTGAATACTCTTAGTCAATGAACTACTACTACTGCTGCTACTGCTACTGCTAATGCCTACTACTACTGCTGCTAACTACTACTGCTAACTACTACTGCTACTACTACTGCTGCTACTACTGCTGCTAACTACTGCTGCTAACTACTACTACTACTACTGATGTTACTACTGCTGCTAACTACTACTCATAACTATTGCTGCTAACTACTACTACTACTACTACCCCGTGTTACGCCTTTAAATTCGGATTAATTATTTAATTAATCCCGTTAAAGGAATAGCTAAAAAGAATTTAATTAAGTCACGATTCCCTAAATTAATTAATATGGTCCACGGATAATCATTGACCCTTACCCTTAATGAAACTCCAAGCCTGTTAGAATAAAGAAAGAGGGTTCATTATTAATTAGACCCTGATTAGGGATTCCTAAACCTATATGAAAGGGGATTAGGGAGCCTTTATAACCCTTCCCTCTCCACCACTCGAATTCCCCTCTCAGAATTCAGACGAAGAATCCCTGCCACCAAGCCTAGGAAAAATTGTTAGGAAAAGGACCTTGAGGAAAGATCCTAGAAGTCGTAAGGAGCTTAATTAAAGCTACCAGGTAACCCATGTCCTACAAAACCTATTTTCCTTGCTATCTTTTATTGATTGGCTCCGTTGAACGATTGAATGTGTGGTTTTGTATTTATGCCTTGTTAGAGCTTGTCCTTAGGATTTATGATTTGGATTCTAGTTATTCTTGATGATCTTGATGATTTTCTGTGGTGGTTTGCATGTTCTTGTATTTAATTATGTTTAGGGTTTGTCCTTAGGGTTTATATGGTGAATCTTGTTGTTCTTGATGTTCTTGGAGTTCTTGGGTGGGTTTATGCATGTTCGGGTGTTATTAACGGTTTAGGGCTTGTCTGTAGGGCTTTGTATATTGGTTTCTTGATGTTCTTGAGGTTCTTGATGCTCCTGAACCGTTGTGTGTTTATCCTTGAGTCTTGGCATGTTTAGAGTTTGCGTTTAGGGATCGATTGTGTTGTTTCTTGGCTTATTTTATGTGTTCGAGTCCCTACGATTGTTGATATGTGTTTGGGCGTGTTGGGACTTGACCATAGGGTGAAATTGGGGAAATTCCCAGGATGGGAAATTGGCCAATGAATATGTTCTAGCGGGTAGTTGGTGGGGGGACAAACCCCCACTCGACCACCCGCGGAAGAGGGGAGATGTTCCAGCGGGTGGACGGCCACCCGCCGGTCCACCCGCTGGAACGGCGTGGTTCCGCCGGCGGGAGGTTGACGGGAGGTTGTCTTCCCACCGTACCCCCTGCGGTACGGGCCGGTGCGGGGTCGTTCGGTCTTCGTGGGTCGAACTCCGTGCCACATGGTGTCTTCATTGATGTTTTCGAGTCAAGTATGATGTCTTGTGTGCCGTAATGTGAATTGTGAGTCGTGTCTTTGCATGTGGTCCATACTCGTATCGTGTGGTGCCAGAGTATGGTCTAAAGTGGTCTTTATGTATCTTATGGTCTCCTTGAGGGCGCTTGTTGTTGAGAGTCAATGTGCATGATGTGCCCTTCCTGATTATCCCCTTGTGGAGTCATTGTGAGTCTTGCTTGCGTGTTGTTGTCCATGGTGAAAAGAAAAGATATGAGATTTGTAGTAAAAACTATGATTGGTGGTTGATGCACTGCGCGTGCTTGTGTGAGATGGTACTGCAGTACCGGTGTGTGATTTTAAGGCATGGCGGATGCTATGAGTTCGGAGGTTATGTAGGAGGTCTTGTAGGCGGGGGGCATGCGGTGCCCCGGAGGGATAAGGATGTGGTGTGTAGGGTGGCCTGGAGGTACAGGTTAGAACTGTTATAAGGTTAGAGAGGCGTAAAGGTTGGAACTTGGTATAAGATTGGAACATGGACATGTTTGTGTTACTTATTATTGTCGAGTCTTATTGTTGTCTGGCTTTGTGGTCTTAGCTGCATGTTGTGCCTTTAGGTGTCGTGTCGTGTCGAGTCTATTGGTATACCTTGAGTCTGATTCCTGGTTTTGAAGTTAGAGTCGCCTAGGTCTATATTATGTATTCCCAAGTCTCAAAATGATTTCTTATATCTATATGTATTGTACTCAACGCGTGGGAGTGGGTTGCTTAGCATTATTCGCTAACGGTTGTGATACTGCATGTTTTTCAGGTACTGATTAGTTGACCGAGAGCGCGATAGAAGGAGCTGCGGTTCCTGGCTTAGTAGTATTAGCTTAGTTAGTCGGCCTGCGAGCCATGCTTGTATTCGGATAATGATTATAGATTAAACTTTGTTTAGTTATTTTAGCCCGTGCATCTAGGTTCTCTAGCTTAGATGTGGCATAGCACCCCAACTCTGATGTTTAGTTTCCACTCTGTTTGGGTATTAATGGTAATCTTGCCTTTATTTCATAAGTTTTAATGGTTTTAATTTATGCTGAAAATTGGGGGTGTTACAGTTGATATCAGAGCCTAAGTTCGACCCTAGGACAATGCCTTTAGGACAGGACTTTAAGACATTAGGCTTGAATCTTAGGTGTTTAAGTACTTAGGATAAGAAGATTTTAGGACGCACAGTGAGCTTGTGAGTTTACTTATCGCTTTTTGTTAAGACTTTCCTATACTTGCTCTCTGTCTAGCTTTTATTCTTGTAATATAAGACATCAGGTATGGGTGCCTTTTCCGAACCCACATCTATAACCGATGTTAACCCTGTAGAATCTAGTATGACACCACCAAGAAACCGTGCAAGGACCCCTGAGACACCGACTAACGAATAGTTGGCTCAGAACTTGCATCAATTAACCCAGATCGCCCAGGCACTGAGTGATAACCTCCTTCACAATAACAACTGCCCGCCACCGAACGGGAATCACGATGTAGCCCGCCAAGTGTCAAACCACCGTCCCCCTATCTTCACCGGGGAAGAGGACCCCGCAATACTCGAAGAATGGATCCATACGTTGGACAAGATCTTCGGAGTAGTGGGCTATCCAAAGGAACGCCAAGTCGAGTTGGCAACCTTCTACTTCGGACACAAGGCCAACCTGTGGTGGATCCATGAGGGACCCACCTATAGGCAAAAACCTGGGTTTCAACTGGGAAGCCCTAAAGATCAAACACTACTACAAAAAAACATATCCACTACACCCATAAAATACTTTCCGCTACACCTGTGCAGGTGTAGCAAAATCCAGTGTCGCTGAAAACCCTGAATTTCCGCTACACCCGCAAAGGGGGTAGCGGAAAGCATTTTATTATTTTTTTAATAATTGATTTCCAAGGCACCCACGTGACCGTGGGCGTCGCGGAAACCATTTATTTATTTTTTTTTTCATTTCCGCACACCCTCTACAGAGAGGGTGTTGCGGATTTTATTTATTTATTTATTTTTTTTTTTTTTACATTTTATTCTATTTTTTATTATTACCTACTATCTATTCAAAACCTGCACATGCAGAATTTTATTTCCAAATCCACCCAAAAATATATAAAACTAATTACAAAAAATTAAACTATCTACTCACAATGGTTTTCAAACCAACTCAAATAAGTATGAACATAAACATAACTATATATATACTTCACAATTAATAATCAACACAATAAATCACCACAATATACTTATACTATCAACACAATAATAACAAAACACATTTAAAATTGAAATCGAGATATACAACTCTTTAATTCAAAAAATAAACATAAGTTAATAATAATAAAGATAATGTTTTAAACGAAATAAAGTTACACGCACTCTTCACTACTCCATGTGCCCACAACTCTCGAACTTCATCTATTTCGTTAATGGAGTAGGGTGCTTCTTCAAATACCTACAAAAATATTTTAATTAATCAAATTAGTTAAGGACTTTGACAATGACTTGCAATCTAGAGAAACATATAAAGAAAATGACTTGACAACATATAACCTAATATCCACTTTCAGAATAGGCAAGAAAAGGAGTGTATGATAAGCACTCAGAAATTTAAGCTTCATCCAGTTTTAATTAGACAGAATTTTATTCATTAAGAGTTGAGGGCGCAACATTAATCAGAAATATGGCCCTGATAATTTTGTCTTACATTGTCAAACTTGGTGATACTATAGTGCTAATCATGCTTTTGCGTATTAAACTACAACAGTATGATCTTAGATTTCATTAATATTCCAAACACACATATACTGCTAATTCAAGAGCCAATATAGTACAGGAATTGATCTTCCTCACACATGATCTTAGATTTCATTAGAAAACCACAATCGCCATACTCTATTCTACTATAGTAGTAAAAATAAACAAACTGTGATGATAATAGCTGAAAATATAGACCCCTAAAGCCCAAAATATATGGAATGTGTTAGATACTTGGATGGTTGAGTGAGAAATTCCACAAGATATGGGGGATTTCAGAGACAGAAGATTATAGATGCAGAAAATTGGATGAGAGCAATAAGCGATGTACTTAACAAATCTTTGCACAGGGTAACAGTAGAGAAGTTAATTGAAAAGATAAAGCTAGTAGAGAAGTTAATTGAAAAGATAAAGCTAGTAGAGAAGTTAATTGAAAAGATAAAGCTAATAAAGAAATTAGGGAAGGCTGATTCAGTCATTCAGAATTAGGGAGTCTTTTTAAATGACAAGATGGTATGCATTAGTTCTCAGCAAATTAGTAAGAAACATCAAATTTAACAAAACCTTTGAGATGGTCAAAGCAGGGCTCCATTGGTCCTTCAAGATATCAAGGCAGATGCTACCATTGCTGTTAATATTTGGATGAAAAACTTTCGTATTAAAAGCAACCTGAAAGAATGGAAACAGATAATTCATAACGAACATATAATTGTAAGAAACTAGTAGAATAGGAAATACTGCCATTCAATAACCTTGGATTTAAATTTATGTATGTTCATTTAAAAAGATTTCATCCTCCTGTTTCTTCTAAGAAATTATTAGACATTCTACCACATCCAGTTTCCAACATACAATCCCTTTTTCATGTTAGTGGAGATAACTATGATTATCACAATTCTCCTTATTTTATTTTAGATCTTTCATCTGTTAACAGCACACTGCACAACACATTCATACATCAGGAAGCCAAGCAACAACATAGCCCTGAAATTAAGCTACAAAGACTAGGTTCTAACAAATTCCATGGGACATTTTGAAAATTAGGAAATTATAAACAACTAAGCACTAATACACATGCATATGAAAAGTTTTACTGTAGTAACTAGTATATGAGTAAAAAAACTACAAGATAAATCAAACAAACTAGCCCACCCGCTTCCCCATGTTGGGGTTGTTTAGATGCTCAGTCATCCAAGAACAAAGGTAAGTTTCTAATTGAGATGCCATATATATCAATAGTAACTTTAATTCATCTTCTACCTTTGGAGGTTTGAATGGATAATCACGGGGGAAATGAATAGTAACCAAAAACACTCCCCCAGTATATGGGCTATCTGGGGGTCAATCCTAAAGCCCCCTTCACGAATGCAGCTTTCCTACCTCAAAATGAACCATATACTAAATAAAACCAGTCCATAAAACACAACAAACATCTAAACAAAAACTCAAAAGAAATTTTCAAATATAACACAATAACAATAATATTCAAAATAAATTAAAAAAATATAAAATACATAAATAAAACTTACCGATCGAGAAGGGGCCGGCGACGTTGCTGTGGCAGGGAGGCAACGGCAGGGGGCAGGCGGCAACGGCTGAACGCGAGAGGAGACCAGAAATGGCGGGCGGCGGCTGAACGCGAGAGGAGACCAGAAATGGCAGGCGGCGGCTGAACGCGAGAGGGAGGCGACGGCGGGCGACAGCGGCTGAACACGAGAGGAAGACGACAGTAGGCGGCAGCGGCTGAACTCCAGAGGAAACCAGAAATGGCGGGTGGCGGCGACTGAACGGCAAGGAGACAGTGGATGCTGCGGAAATTGCAGATCGGTTGATCGATTTTGGGAAAAATGACTAAAATATGACAAACAGGCTTCTCAATTCCCAAAATATGACCTTTTTTTTTTGACAAATCATGCGTTTTAGGCATGTTCCAGTTCTTTTTTTATTTTTTTATCCGTCACCAAAGACGCAAATGAGATTTGCGTATTTAGTATCGTATATGTCAAACGCATTTACCTAATGCGTTTGACGTATATTATTAGTATACGGTAAAACGCACATACGAGATGTGTTTGGAGTATTATACGTCAAACGCATCTCGTACATGCGTTTTTGTCGCCGATCAGTTGCCGGAGACTGGCAATGGCAACCCGCGTGTGGGAAATGCGTTCCAATTGAATCGTATGAACCACATGCGTTTCAAACGCGCATAATATTGCGCTAAACAACATGAACAAATACAAAGGGATACTAGGATCATCCAAGTAATACATTTAGCCTATTTGGTATATTTGATGACAATGAAACTTCTATTTACCTTGAAGACCCGTGTTTGAATCTCACACCGTGGTAGTTCGACATGAATTGCATGAGCCACATGTGTTTTAGACGTAATATTGCGTCCACACCATGAACAAATACAAAGGAATACTGCACTTAACTAACTAATACACTTAGCTTGTTTGGTAGAGTTGATGAGAATGGGATTTTTATTTACCTCAAAGACTCGTGTTTGAATCCAACTCCTTGTTAGTTGGGACTTTTGTTTGTAAGATGAAAATGAGAGTCTCAATATCTTGTTGGATTAGCTCTTTGGTTGATAATTGATGTTTTTTTATGGTAAATAGCATACCAAAATTAATTTTATTTTTATGTTCAATTTTGAAAAATATGCAACAAAATGTTCATTTATTAAGTGAAGTTAAGAATAAATAAAAATATGTACTATATTTATGATTCATTTTTTCATTATTTTTAAATTTAATCTACCCATTTTTTTTTTTTTATCTTTTGTGTATTGTGGCATCCGTACGAGATGTATTAATGTGTAAATGAGTGTAACGAATTGCTATTAGTTTGAATAAAAATTAGTGTTTTATAAATATGTGAATCAAAAAATTAAATTGCGATTGATATTAACTACGATATAATCATACATTCATATACTGAAAATTACATCAAGTTGATAACAAATATCGTTGAATTTTCATTTCGAGGAAATATGTTGTTGTATCATACAAAAGTCTGTACAACTTTCGACTTCAAAGAAGACTCAAATAAAAGAACCACAAAATAGAAATGCAAACGTCTTTCTCATGGAACTCATTGACACAATTGTGAAACGTAGCTTCTATTGTATCAATGGCGTCATCATAATCATAGACCTTTTGGACCTTTGAACGCCCTTACGTAGTTTTGCATTTCTTTATTTCAGGACTGCGGTGACCCACAGTGTAGACTTGTTTGACGTCACCACTATTTCTCCACCACATATCATAAATGCCTCTTACGCGCTAATGGAATAGAAAGTCTGTACGCTGAGACATTCAACTTCCTTTGGTCGTATCCTCAACGGAGGCTCAACCAAACATTCGCGAAATTTAGTTGAAATTCAGTCAACTTTACCATTGGTTGGAATAAAAGCAAAGAGTGTTTGAATGAAATATAAAGCAAATGCTTCGCATGATAAAGTTGAAAAAATGAAAAAATACTTCCCATAATAAAGAAATAAGCAATGCCGTCAAGCAAAAAAATGTAATGTTTGAGTGTAATAGTGCAAACGAAATAGCTACTATTTATATCCGAAATCTCTCTGTGATCTCAACCGCAAATCCCCCTTGCGATCTTTCTTTTTCTTAGATGCGACATCTCGTATGTACTGTTGGGCCATAGGTTATTATTATTTTTTTATTCGTGTGGGATATTTACAAAAAACATGTGGGGTGTCAGTCACGCCACTTTGAAAACGCATTTTGGAATTGCGGCAAGTAGATCGCAAGTTGTACTTGCGTTATTTCTTTTTGTGAGCGGGATGCAAACCTGGTTAGTTGTGCATCACAGTAGGGTAGGGGCCGCTAAGCATGTGGGGTGGCAGCCATGAAAATGCAAGTCCCACTTGCATTTTTGCTGCGAAGTCCCATCAAATAGCAATGGTAAGTGGTATGTGGATGCATTTTACATAGCTATAAATATGGGATTTTACTCTCTCTCTCTCTCTCTCTCTATATATATATATATATATATATATATATATATATATATATATAGTAACAGACTGTCTGAAACTCAATTATAACCTATATCTTCAGTTTGATACAAACGAAAGGCAATATGCAACACTTTAATAGTATTGAGTTTGAAAGCAATTTAGGAAAACTCGTCTATATATTATCAGTTTGTATGAGGGGAAAGAAGAAAAAGAGAAGGTAAGAGTTGAAGTAAGTATATATATATACATATACATATATAATTATAGTGTGTATCTGGGTTGATTTATGTTTAAATTTATGATGTTTATTTTTGGCGCAGGTACAATTTACGAGAAGAATACGCTTGTAGTGGTCTGTAATTAATTCTCGCGAAATGTCTACGAATTTCAATTTAATTTCGCGACATATTTTAATTTGAAAATAAAAAGATGTTGCGAAATATAATAAAATAATATAATTATTGAAAGGATAATGGCGATTTATTTTGGTCGCAATGTGCACCAATTGATTCAACTATTATCCATATTTTGAAAATTTTAGAAATGGGTGAGTTGTAGTCACAATTGAACCCTTTCAATAGTTGTTAATTTTATTAAGAGTATCTAAACTTGAAGTCCACCAGTAGCAAGTTGCTTCCTGATGGGGGTGGCGGATGGATAAAGCGTTGTTCGACGCGGATCGTTAAATGTGTATTTTTTATTTCCTTGTTGTCACAAGTAAACCCGAAAAGAATGTAAGTTGTGAATAGTCGCTTGTAATGTTAATAAGTATGACAATAAAATTACAAATTTGATTGAATTATGTGTATCAAGTATAATGGAAATGGTAATACACTCTGCTTTAAATACAACATCAAAAAATATGTATACTTAACTTACATATCGAAACTGCCGTGGATAAAAGAAAACAATATCGCCGTGAGTTGTACCATATTGATGCCATCATACTAGTTTCTACTCGCCCTGTAGTTTTTTAACAATCAATACTATCAATATATATTGATGTTATCGTACTGATTTCTACATGCCGTGTAGATAAGTAAATATTTATAGTCTGCTGGGTCATTAATTTGTAGGCATTGAAATACATGAACATATATTGATGCCATCATATTGTGACCCAGAGACATAATTTTAGATAACCCGCGTAGCAATCAAATAACATGGACATAAACATTGATGCCCAGTATTTGTGAGCCACACGGACTATAAGTGGGCAGCCGCTCCAAAGGAAGTTGGAATGTGATCCTGAACTGTGTATGGATGAGAAGGCAATCATAGAACCCGGCCTTTCTCCACACAATTTGGAGCATATTCTTCAACTAAGTCGCCATGTAATTTCGCGAGAATTAAGTACAGACCATACGTGTAGTTAACGGGAGAAAAAATTCTCCAAAGAACTTGAACATATCATATGTTTGGCATATGAGAACATAGTATTCATAGGATAGTATGCAGATGATAGTATAGAGGGCTTATAGAAAAGTATGGAATTTGATAGAGAGTAGAGAAGAGATTGAGATAAAAAATGTTCAGAGTCGTATGAGGTTGTCAAAATAATTCGGGAATATATATAGGCCAAGTTTGGTGCGTTTCATTAAAACGCACGTCGAAATTGCATTTTTTGTAAAAACGCATGTCCAACATGCATTTTACATAGCTGTGACCATTTCACTGAATAAAGGCTACATGATTTGGCAAAGTTTGAATGTATAGCATGTCATTTGAGTTGGCTAACATCCGAAATTTCCATCAAAGAGCACCCATGTATAGCATGTCATTTTAATATTGTATTGTTTATATTATTGCAGGTACAAATTTTGTCAATTAGTCTGTAATTAAGTGCAACTTGCGATTTTGATTTTTGTCACGGCGATCTGATGTCTCGATTGACCAAGGCAAAAAAGGTGGTCAAAACGCGATTGGGAGTTGCGGTCGATTGCAGACCGCAATTTCCACTTGCGATCTTGCTTTTTGTCAGCCGAGATGTGATGCATGAGTCGAGATGTGTTGCATGTCAGGCACATTAGTAAGGTCGTCAAAATGCGATGGGGAAATGCGGTCCACAGGAAAACGCAACTCCTAGTTGTGTTCTTACTTTATTTTCCACCTGATTTTGAGTTTTTTTTTCTATTTATGATTTGTTTTCAGCACTTGTCATTCATGAACTAGCAGAAGCAATTGAGGACGCAAAAAATTAGTTGGGGTTTAGTTTTTAAAATAATGCACATATAACTATATACCGAAATGTCTCAATCGGTGGAGTGAAATGACTGCTTATTAGTTTTCATGTATGTTTGAAGCACTATAAAGGAGTGAAATGAATATTTGTACTAACCACTTGAAAAAATTAGTGAATTTTCGTTTAATAAGATATTTAGTAATAAAGTAGTAAAACTGAAATTGTGATATAAATGTATACAAATACAGTTATATAAATCACAAAGTACACAAGTTGGATATACATCATAAACTACATAACCAGTTGGTGCATCACTGGGATCTTGCGAGGCTCGTTCGAACATCGACCAACATAAACTACAAACCACAGGTCTCCGAATTTTGCGAGGCTGGTTCCAACATCGACCAACTTGGATATACATCATAAACTACATAAATTACAAAAGAAATTGCGTTAAAGCCAATGTTTGTAGGAATTGAATTAAATTTGCGACGGCTGGAAGTCATTGACACAGTTATGAAATGTGGCTTCTCTTGCATCAATGTCATCTTCCGAATCATAGGCCTTTTGGACCTTTGGTCGTTTAGTAACCTTATTTTTGTCGTTGACTCCTTGCAGAAGTCATTTAATAAGGCGCAGCCTATAACCTGAAATTTGTAAATAAGGAAAATATAAAAAATAACAAATTACAGAACTTGGATATACATCATATATATATATGTATATTTAAAAGAAGCATTGTACGAGCTAACCAATACAAAGTCTGTAAGCTAAATTGAACGAACCTCTTAATAGAAATAGTAGTCGCGAAATTTAGTTGAAATTCATTGAATTTCGGATGCAGAGAAAAAATATGGGGCTTGAAATATTGAGCATGAGAAAGTTGTAAAAAAAGAAAACAAACTTCCCATAGAGAATACAGAAATAAGCTAAATTGGTTTAGTAAAAAATGTAATGTTTGAATGTAAAACCGCACCGCTAGGCTATTTATATGCGAGGTAGAATGCTAGGCAAGTCCTTGTTGTGTTGTATTGCGTTGTATTTTTTTTAAAGTAACTCACGCTTAAACCGCAAGTGGTATTTGCGATTTTATTTTTTGTCAGGGGATGAGATGTATCAGCTGGGTGACTAACGGGGTGGTTGGCACAGGTAACCAAAAAATGCGTAGATGTGACCAAAGCAAAAAAAGCTGGTCAAAACGCGAGTGGGACTTGCGGTGTACGACGAACAGCAATTCCCACTTGCGATATTGCTTTTTGTCAGCCAACATGTGATGCATTTCGGCTGACGAATAGCATAGTGGACACAACTTTGGTACAGGCTATCAAATAGCATAGTATGATTTTTTGAGTACAGAGGAAGGGCCAAGCCCCGGAATAGCATAGTATGATTGTATGCCAATTTACGAGTTGGGACTGAGTATTGATAAATTATACAATCATAGTGCGCATGGTAATATTTGATACGTAAATTTCACGCATGGTGTCAATCGAAAACACATATTCATATGAATATAAACGCTATATCCATACATGTGAACTTATTTTGAAAGTAGATTTTTAAATTCTTCAACAATTGCATCGACTTTCATGACATGCTCATGAGTCTCACGTGCAAGTTCATCTTGCATACGCGCTAAGATTTCATCATTCGGAATTGTGTTTGTATTGGGTGGGGTGCATGTTGAAGTGAAAGCGGAAGTTGAACTACATGGTCCGAAATGATGTTGCTTATTGTTTTTGAATTTGTTGAAAGCTTCAATGGTTTCATCTTTGGAGTGAAATGATTTATACAAATTGTCGCTATAGTGATGTACTTGAGCTTTTGCATCTTCCCAATTTTCATATGTTCCCGGTTGTCGACCAACAAACACAACATATGTCTTACCCTAGTATTAAACATCCTATTAAAAACGGAGTAGTAATGTAATTAAAAGAAATATATATAGAATAGAGCGTACCATTTTGAATATTTTTTGAAGATGGTGATGAACGGTTGGAACAAGTAGAGTGAGAAACGCAATGTCCCTATTGGATACTTGTTAGGGAAATGGCAAAGTTGTCATCTGGTTCTGGGGCTATAAATAACCGTATAAGTTAGAAGAATTTGGAATCTTATACTAGCAAAAACAATTCAGTGCTACAACTTTTGATAAAGTAGGTTTCCTATCAGGATTTTTTAGGGGTACTAAATTTTTAAATTACTATGACCCTTAGAATTTGTGATTGTCCCGCCTATAAAAACCCATGAGATCCTCAAATTAAAAAAAACTCATCAGATCCTCAAATTTAAAAAACCCATGATTTTCCCTTAAATTCATCAACAAGTATTGTGGAAAAAAAAACAATGGATCTTTTCGATGATTTTGAGATACCTCCTGGAATCACTCCTCTATTTTGTCATCGACTGTTGTATCAAGCAATAACAATCCATCAAAGAAATTTTTTGTATGCATGTGTAGATCGAAGACCGTGTGATACTTTTGTATCGTATCCCACTCGTGCTTGGGGTCGATATTTACTGATGTTAGGTATTCCTGTGCCGGAATCAAGGATTTTTGCAAATAAAGAAGATGCCGAACGATATGCTTTGGTCATATTTGAAAGTCTCAGACAAATTTATTTCCCTTCACGTAAGTTTTTGTGCATTTTGTTAATTAATAATATTTGAAAGTCTACGACAAATTTGTTTTTCCCATTTTGTTATTAGCTTGCAACGATGTATTGCATATGCCTGATGTGAGTGACTACGCTACGACTTGGTTCACTATTCTAGTTTCTTTTGACCAAGACATGGCAATCACTCATCTAATTTGTCCTTTTAACACTATATTGCAACACTGGTTTCATTATGACGTCCTGTATTCATTTCTATAATAGAGAATTCCAAATTGTATGCATCGCCATTTAATGCAACATCTAACGACAAAAGCAATATTGTGGCATCATAGCGCATGGATAGAAGTTGATGTGGAAGATATGCAATTTACAACGGGAATTAGTGAATTCAAGACGGAAAATGATTTATACCTTGGAGACATTGTCCTATTTCGACATATAGGTTTCTTCATTTTCGAATGTTACTTATTTAGTGTCGATTCGTATAGTCCAAAGAGAGAATTTAATCAATTTGGTCGAAGGACAAATATTCGGCAGTTTGATCCCGGTAACTTTCCATTTATAGTGCATATTCTTCATGAAATATTTGCTGGCCGGAAACATACTAATTTACTGCAGCGCCGATGTCCATGTTCAAAGGTGGATGTTGTCGTCGACGTCGATGACCACCCTGAGCTCAGCCGCCGCGCCTATTTTCCCGTCTTCTGTCAGTGGCCCGAACTTGATCAATAGGCTCATAAAAAATTCCTTCGTTATTGCGTGGAAAATCCATTACGTAACCGTAGTTAAGCCTTTGAAGTTCATCGCGCGCAATCTGTTGCATTAGATGTGTATACTCGTCGTTTTCTCCGTGCTCCTCGACCATTTCACCAACAATATTTATGTGACGCAGAGCTTCCACCTAACATAACATAGTTTCATAATTAGTGGACAAAACAATAAAACACAATTACTGAAGCAACATATGAACAGTTCTCATGTAAAACCGTTGCAGCAAATAAAGATGCAGTCTCTAAGTATCCTTCAGCTTGATGATGAGCTGGGTTCCCTATTAAACGGCGACCAACCCTATAGAACCAATGTTCGTAAGCCTGACTTACGAATGGACCGGCTGGTGCATGTGGTGCAATTATAATCAAGTTCTCATTTCGATTTTCCCAAATTGCAACATACAATTGATGGTAAACTGTCCAATCTTGATTCTTAGTATGACCATCTAATATGTGCAGGTTCACTATGGAATGAGTTGCCTACTGCTATGGTAGAAAAGGTAGTTACAATTGCTTGGGCTATATGGGAGAACCGAAACTCTATGGTCTGGAAATCTCAATGGAAGGACCCGATAACAATGGTACGTATGGCTTTGAGCTATGTGCGAGATTGGCAAACTGCTCAGAGTTAAAATACAGCAAGGACACAAAATATGGCTATTCAAGCGCACCATACTGCATGGTCCCCCCCTCCTCCACATTATTTGAAAATAAATATTGATGTGGCCATGGACTTTGAGCATTGCCGAATGGGATATGGGTGGATTCTTAGGGATGCAGCGGGCGTGGTGAAGGGGGCTGCGACCTCTACGGTTCAAGGGATTTATTCTGTTAGAGAGGCCGAAGCCATTGGGGCTCGTGAAGCTTTGAGTTGGATCAAAAACAAAGGATGGTCCCAAGTTGTGCTTGAAACTGATGCGCAGGTGGTGACAAATGCTATGGTAGCATATCAGAACTTCACCCCGTTTGGAATGATCATTGCTGAGGTTCGTGGGCTTTTGAAGCATCTGCCTTTGGTTCGGTTTGTTTTTACAAAGCGGAATGCAAATGTTTCAGCTCATCTGTTAGCCAAGTATGCATTGTGTAATTCTGGGGAGGGGTGATTGAATATTTTGATTTTATTCCCTATTTTCTTTCATCATCTGTTTTAGCAGACTTGTCTGGTTTGAGAAATTAATATATATTGATCTTTTGTTTTCAAAAAAAAAAAAAAAACATACCGTGCACCATAAGGTCCATCATTTAGGTTCATGACTGGGACCACACCAATAGGACGTGTACAGGGCAAGCGCTCCCATGCCCACAACTGTAACAAAATAAAGCAACCACCAGCAACGGAATGCTCGTAATTCGCCGTTCTACAAAGTGATCTGTACAAGCATGAGAGGACGGTCGAACCCCAACTGTATTGTCCGGCAGTAGAAATAATGTCCTCTAATTTATCCAATAGACACAATTTTACCTTATTCCAGGATGTTTCAGGAAATAACAACCCCCCATAAATAATAAAATAATACCACGCACGTATTGTTGCAGTATTACATCATTTGCCTGATCAATGTCATTGGCAATGGCAGCAACGCGTTGTTCTATAGTCAGCATATTTATACCACTAACCGTGTACGCGTTCTGTAGAGGTGTAAAACCTAAAAAAGTCTGAATTTGGAAAAAACGTTCTTGTAATGTTTTTTCAAGTTTGCCAACCAATGTCCTACCATCAATCTTAAGTCCTAAAAGAACTTCAACATCTTGTAATGTTATCGTTACCTCGCCAAACGGCATATGGAACGCATGTACCTCAGGGCGCCACCTCTCAACTAAAGTAGTGATTAGATGATGGTCAATTTTCATGTTACCTAACCGTGTGATTGAAAGAAAACCCGCTTCGCGTAACCAACCTTCTACGCGTTCATTCAAATCGAGATTACTAAATGCCCCACGCGAAGAATGTACACATGATACTTGTGCATTGTAGTCTTGATTCCCCCATACCGACTCCGATCGATGATGCGGTTGATAAGTTAACAATGTTTCATCAATGTGACCGGGGTGTAAATAATTTTGCCTCATTTTTTTAACAAATTTGATCGCACAATACTTGATCCAAGGTGCAATGAAAGGGAGAAATAATCTACAATTTTCAGATATAGAGAGCTGAGTGATACTAGGGTTCATTTAACATGAAAGATAACTTATATTTATACATACGTGAGTTAAGCCAGATTTTATTTTCCCAATATATGTTCAAATTTTAAAGCCAGACTGATGTGACCATTGACTATGGTCACATCAGTTTGGCGTGACTGACACACTACCGTGTCAGTCGGAGTTGTAGACTGACACAGCAACTAAAGTGCTGCGTCAGTCCACTGTAAACAACACGTGACCAGTCAGTCACTGCACTGCTGGTCACGTCAACATTAAAGGGCTTAACTCACACAGTGAGTCAAGCCATTCGAACAAAAACATATAAAAATTTGAAATATGTAATATGCTATTTGCAACACACTTCAATATAAAAATTCATCTTTTATTTCAATGTGTATTTTGTTACAATTGAATCTTTGTGTACAATACTGAAAAAAAAAATTATAATAATTAAATTACATAAATGAGTCGTACAACAATTTATAAAGTCTATTATATAATGTTTAGTGTCTAATGGCAGCAACGGCAACACCATCGCGTTCAGTTGCAGTAGGAAGAACATATATTACTTTTTTTTTTAAATAACCGGGAAGGAAGTCGACAGTTTGTATACTCTGTCAATTCAACCCGCTCATTAATTACTATTTAATAAAATCTCCACGACATATTAGTTATAAATAAATATAACAATATGTTGCGAGAATTACGTACAGACTATTTGACGAAATTCGTACCCGTAAACATAAAAATGAATAAAAAATTAATCATTACAATATATTCAAATAATAGTATATAAGTATGTGACACTTACCATCTCCATATTTTCTTTTTCCTCTTATGTGGTTGAAATATAAATAACCACATTTGATTGCGTGCTCTTTGATTGAATTTTTGAAAGTTTGCCAACTCAATTGACATGCTATTCAAACTTTATGCAATCAGGTAGGTACCATTCACTTCAATGGCCTATTTATAGCCAGTAAAACGCATGTGCGACATGCGTTTAAATTAAAACGCATATTGCACTTGCGTTTTACCAAACGCATTTAAAAATTGCATTTTTAGTGGCATAAAACCTTGCCTATATATATTCCGGAAATATTTTGCCACACTTGTTTGACTCTGAAATTTTTTTTTATCTCATTCTCTTCTACTCTCTTTCAAATTCCATACTTGGCAGTATGCAGTCTATACTATCATATGCATTATCATATGCATACTATCATATGAATACTATGTTCTCGTATGCCAAACATTTTTATGTTCAAGATAATTGGAGTCATTTTTCTCCAATTAACTAGAAGTACAGTCTGTACTTAATTCTCGCGAAATTTCTTGGCGGCTTAGTTGAAGAATGTGATCCAAAAACTGTGGTAATAGGCCGGGTTCTATGATTGCCTTCCCATCCATACACAGTTCGGGATCACATTAAAAAATCCTTTGGAGCGGCTGCCAACTTATAATGCATGTGGGTCACAGTTACTGGACATCAATGGTTATGTCCATGTTATTTGATAGCCATGCGGGCTATATAAAAATACGTCTCTGGGTCACAATATGATGGCATCAATATATGTTCATTTTATTGAATAATGACCCAACAGACTATATATATTTACTTATCTACAGGGCATCCCGAAATCAGTACAGTGAAATCAATATATATTCATATTATTGATTGTCAAAATACTATAGGGCGTGTAGAAATCAATATGATGGCATCAATATGACAAGTCACGACGATATTGTTTTCTTGTATCCACGATAGTTTCGATATGTAAGTTAAATATACAGATTTATTTGATGTTGTATTTTTCTGAAGAAACCAATGTGGTTATATTTATAAATAACTCGAAATTGAGTCAGGTGGGATAGTATCCCAATACCGATGTTGTATTTGATCTTGTATTTAAAGCAGAGTGTATTACCGATTCCATTATACTTGTTACAAATAATTCAATCAAATGACAAATTGTAATTTTATTGACATGCTTATTAACATTACAAGCGACTATTCACAACATACATTCTTTTCGGGTTCAATTCTGACTATCAGCAAGCAAAAAAATACAATTTTAATGCTCCGTGTCGACCAAAGATCAAGCCCACCAACTCCCACATAAGGAAGCAACTTGCTACCGGTGGACTACAAGTTTAGATACTCTTAAACAATTCAAAAACTATTGAAAGGGTTCAGTTGTGACTACAACAAACCTATTTCAAAAATTTAGTAAATATAGATAATAGCTAAAGCAATTTGTGCAAATTGTGACCAAAAAAACTCGCCATTATCCTTTCAATAATAATATTATTTCTTATATTTCACAACATATTTATATTTATAAATAAAAATATGTCGCGAAATTTAGTTGAAATTCGTAGATATTTCGCGAGAATTAATTACAGACCACTACAGGCATATTCTTCCAGTAAATTATACCTGCGCCAATAAAAACATCATCATTTATACATAAACCAACCCATACACACACTTTAATTATATATGTATATGTATATATATTCATATATATACTTAAAGTCTTACCTTCTATTTCTCTTCTTTCTCCTCATAAAAATTGATAATAAGGAGTCGAGTTCTCCTACCTTTCTTTGAAAATCACTACTGTTAAAGTGTTGCATATTGCCTTTCTTTTCTATCAAACTGAAGATATACATTATAATTTCACTCAATCTGTAACTATATTTATAGTAAAATCGATAACTTCTACAGCCATGTACACTTACCATTACTGTTCGATGGGACTACTGAGGCTGGGCGTGGTGAAAATGAAAGTGGGACTTGCGTTTTGACCACCTGACAGCCCACATGCTAACCTACCCCGGCCCCTATTTTGATGCACAACTACCATACATTACTGTTCGATGGGACTATTGAGGCTGGGGCTGCGCGGTAAAAATGCAAGTGGGACTTGCGTTTTGACCACCTGACAGCCCACATGCTAACCTACCCCGGCCACTACTTTGATGCACAACTACCATACATTACTGTTCGATGGGACTATTGAGGCTGGGGCTGCACAGTAAAAATGCAAGTGGGATTTGCATTTTGACCACCCAGCCCACATGCTAACCTACCCCGGCCACTACTTTGATGCACAACTACCAAGGTTTGCATCCCACATGCAAACCTGACCCTGGTCGCTGACAAAAAGTAATAACGATAAACGGACTTGCGGTCAAATTGTCGCAAGTCCCAATTGCGTTTTGAAGGTGGCCTGGCACACACATGTTTTTTTTTGTAAATACCCAACCAACCAAAACAAATTTATAAATACCCAACCAACCAAAAAAAATTAATAACCTATGGCCCAACACTACATTTCTTATCTAAATGATGTAATTCATCATTACACTCCATTAACTACTAATGAACTAATAAGCAATAATACAATACATAGGGACTGCACAAAAAAAAAAAAAAAAAAAAATCAAACATCAAGTATCAACCAAAATCCTAATCCATCAAAGTTGTTGAGACTTTCAAACAAAAAGTGGGATTCAAACACGGGTCTTCAAGGTAAATAGAAGTTCCATTCTCATCAACTCTACCAAATAAGCTAACTGATAAGTGCAGTATTCCTTTGTATTTGTTCATGGTGTGGACGCAATATTACGTCTAAAATGCATATAGCTCATGCAATTCACGTCAAACTACCACAGTTTATGGGGTTTGAACATGAGTCTTCAAGGTAAATAGAAGTTTCATTATCATCAAATCTACCAAATAAGCTAAATGTATTACTTGGATGATTCTAGTATCCCTTTGTATTTGTTCATGTTGTTTAGCGCAATATTACGGCATTTGAAACGCATGTGGTTCATGCGATTCAATTAGAACGCATTTCCCACACGCGGGTTGCCATTGCTAGTCTCCGGCAACTGACCGGCGACAAAAACGCATGTACGAGATGCGTTTGACGTATAATACTCCAAA